CTTATATATTTAATTTAAAAGTGTTCAATTTGCTCGGAAAATGTCTTAATATTTAAAGCGATATATATTTTTTACATATTTAAGTGATTTCCTAGACCCAGGCTACTGTGACCGTGTTATTTTATAAAGTTAATAATAATATGGAATTATAAATATAATATGGACAATCTGAAGTGCGTAATTCAAAAAATTACAACAATAAATATACGTAGTACTCCCGAAACACAGTGGGCGGTTTTAGCAGCAGAAAGTCTGTCAAATAATACACATTTACACGACATACGAGTACATGGATCGGAGAATACTAAACCAACACAAGATTTTTTTCGTGTATAATAAATTATATATACTGCATCAAAACATAAATGAACTCTTAAATAAATGTGACATCTTAATAGAACGTCTGAGTGACCTCGCGAATAATGGAAAAATAGTTAGTATTTTATGCTTCACCGAATATAATATGTGACAGAGCGATGTAAACATGATAAATATACTTAACTATAAACTAGCTACACACATTGCTCGTAATCATCGTAACGGAGGTTCAAACATACAGGTGTACAACGGCATTAATTTTATGGAAATAGAATTATGAAAACTACATATGTAATATCCCTAACGTTTTTGAATGCTGTGCCATAGAGCTGACAGATCATAAAGTTATTATATTATGTTTATACAGATCCAAAAATCAATATAAAATAAATATTTTCTTTGAAAACCTAACAAAAATGTTACATCTCATCAGCTATATTATAAACAAAAAAAAATTTGTGGCGATTTTAATATAAACATGCTTAAGAAAACTGAAGATTCTATTCAATTTGAACGCATTGCAAAAAGGATTTAACTTGAAAATAGAAATAAATGACCCGACACGACCTAGTAGTGTTACCTGTTTGGATCATATATTGCGTAATATACGAGGATGTAATAGTGAAATAATAGAGCTGGGTGTTTCCGATCATACAGCACAGTGATAGTGATGAGATGACCAGTGAAAAAAAAGTGTACTCTTTAATATTAGCATACATATAAACGTGATTACAACAAAAAGAATATAACACTTTTTAAGAAATGCATTGGCAGTCGTTACCAATTGTTACGAGCTTGAGGTTGGTGACAATAAAAACTACCGATTGAATTACCAAAATTTACACTTTTATTACCGAGAGCTTCCAAGACAATTAAGGCTTGGTCGCACAGGCCTAGGGTATGTGCAGTCATGGCCTGGGTTTTGTTCCAGCCGTTCGCCTCCATGACGGCTTCGAACTGGATTTTGTAGGCCGACCAGGAAGTAGTCCCGTCGAACGGAGGCACTTAGAATCCACGTAGGGAGGGTGTTATAGCTACTACAGGAGCTGTAGTTCCATCACCAAATTCGAGTTCGTCCAGTGATTTCTTCATGTTAGCCATTACGTTGTCAACCCGATTGTTTACTTGGTCGATTCGGGTTTCAGCTTCCGACAGGCGGTTTCATGTTGAGCAACCTTATCATTCACCTCCCGTATCTCTTTTCTGAAGGTAGCATGGATGTCCCCCATGAGGAGCATCTGCTCTTCCTTATCGCGTTTGAGCTGCTCTTCCAAACGACGGACCTGTTCCTCTTGTCCGCCCCGCAGCTGCTCTTCCAATCGGCCTGCCTATTCCTCTTGCCTGCGAGCCTGTTCCTCCTGCTACTCTTTCAACCAACGGACCTATTCCTCCTGTCGGTGAGCCCGTTCCTGTAGCATCACCATCAGAGCACCTAAATCAGGTGCTGCAGATGTAGGAGCTACTGACGGCCCTGCAGCCAGCGGCTGGCCCTCCAACGTCTGTGGCGTTGCACCACCAAATCTTCTTTGGTCAGTCTCCTACTGGCGTTGACTTCGGGTACGGACACCCTCCTTTTCCTCCTTAGGTAAAATCGGCATGATTTTATCCCACTTCTGACACCAATATTATGACGACTATGGTGATGATGACGATGAGAATGACGACGATTATGACGATGACGATGATGATGACAATGACGATGACGATGATGATGATGATGATGATGATGACGATGACGATGACATTGTTGCCGACGTTGACAATGACGATAACGGTGACGATAATGATGAGGATGACAATGATGATGAGGATGATGATGATTATGCTGATGATGATGACGACGATGAAGATGACGAACACGATGATGATGTTTATGCTTTGATAAGACGATGACGATGACGATTACCATGAAGATGACGATGACAATGACGATGATGATAACGATGATGATGATGATGACGATGACGACTATGTTCATGATGACGATGACTATCATGATGATGATGACGATGATGATGATGACGATAATGATGACGATGACGATGACGTTGATGACGACGTTGACAATGACGATGACGGTGACGATCACGATGATGATGTTTATGCTGATGACGATTACGATGTCGATGACGATGACGAAAACCATGAAGATGACGATGACAATGATGATGACGATAACGATGATGATGATGAAGATGACGACTATGTTGATGATGACGATGACGATGATGACTATGGTGATGATGATGGCGATGACAGTGACAATGATGATAAGATGACGATGATGACGACGATGACGGAGAAGACGATGATGATGATGATCATGACAATGATGATGATGACGACGATGACGATGATAACAATGACGATGAAAGTGACGATAACGATGACGATGACGATGATAATGTCATATAAATCATGTTCATGTCATTGTCATCATCGTTATCGTCATCGACATCATCATCATAATCATCATCATCATATCGCATCATCATCATCATCTCTCTCCTCGTCGTCGTCGTCGTCGTCATCGTCATCGTCTTCATCATAATCATCGTCTTCATCACCATCACCGTTCGTCATAAAGGTTATGGGCGCAGTCCCGCATTTTCCAATTCAATAAGTGTTTAAAGTAGTTTTAACTTACGTTTTTTGGAAACCATGTCGTCATCCAGTTATTTATTAAGTGTACCAAAGTTGAAAGGACGCGAAAATTATGATGACTGGGCGTTTGCCGTAAAAAACTTATTGGTGTTAGAAGGCGTTGATTTGGACAATATTTCACCGGATTTGAGTGACAGTGAGCAAGTGAATGCCAAAGCAAAGGTTATGACCATCGACCCTTCATTATACGCTCATATTAAGACGGAGATAACTGTAAACGCGTTGTGGAACAAGTTACGGCAGCTATTCGATGACACCGGATTCACTAGGAAAATCAATCTACTACGAACATTGATATCCATCCGCTTAGAAAATAGTGAATCCATGACAAGCTACGTGTCTCAAGTGGTTGAAACGGCACAGCGTTTAAAGGGAACAGGGTTTGAAATCAATGAAGAGTGGATTGCATCATTGCTTTTGGCCGGACTTCCAGAAAGGTTCGAGCCAATGATAATGGCGATCGAGTACTCCGGTTTGGCCATTAATGCAGACGTCATCAAAACGAAGCTTCTCGATATGTCTTGTGATGTTGGCAACAGTGGACCGGAAACAGCGTTTTGGACGAATCGTCGAACCAAAGGTGGCAGCACTGTTCATTCCAAGCAAAGACAAACGTCAACGTCAAAGTAAAAAAAATGTCATCAGAAAGTAAACAAATAAATTGTTATAAATGCAAGAAAATTGGACACTATAAAAACCAATGTCCTGAATTGAAAATTAAGGAAGCAGGTGCTTTTAGTGTAGCATTCCTTAATGGAGAATTCAGTACTGAAGATTGGTATATTGACTCTGGTGCCAGTGTCCATATGACAGCGAACAACGACAGTTTACGGGATATGCGAAAACGCGAGATAAATGAAATAGTTGTTGCGAATAAAACATCTATGCCAGTTATGTGTGCCGGCGATACAATATTAACTACGTGTGTAAACAACGATCAGTTTGACATTCATGTGAAAAATGTGTTGTACATACCCAACCTCACAACTAACCTCCTATCTGTTAGCCAGCTTATAGCAAATGGAAATACAGTTTCATTTAAAAATAATTGTTGTAATATCCGTAATAAGCAGAATAAGCTGATTGGAGTAGCAAGTTTAAATAATGGAGTGTACAAACTAAACACAGTGAAGTCAGTGGGGTTAGCAGCTTCGGCAATACACACATCAGAAGCAAGACTGTGGCATAGGCGACTCGGGCACATCAACAGTAGTGACTTAGAGAAAATGAAGAATGGCGCAGTGGAGGGTGTATCTTATAAAGATAAAGCAAACATCCAGAAATCCAACTGCGTTGTGTGTTGTGAGGGTAAGCAGTCTCGCTTGCCTTTCCCATCAGCCAATCATAGGAGTGAATTCCTGTTAGAGGTTGTGCACTCAGATTTATTTGGGCCTATGAAGTCGAAATCTCTTGGCGGGGCCAGATATTTTCTTCTCTTTGTTGATGACGCCAGTCGAATGTCGTTTGTATATTTTTTAAAGTGAAAAGAATCAAGCATTGAAGTACTTTAAGCAATACCAAAGTTTGGTGGAGAACCAAACGGGAAATAAAATTAAAGTGCTCAGAACAGATAATGGAGGAGAATTTTGTTCCCAAGAGATGGAAAATTATTTGAAAACTCAAGGGATAGTTCATCAAAAGACCAACCCGTACACCCTGGAGCAAAATGGCCTCTGTGAGCGCTTCAACAGGACAATAGTTGAACGTGCTAAATGCTTACTCTTTGAGGCTAAATTAGAAGAAAAAAATTGGGCAGAGGCAGTGAACTCGGCAGTTTACCTTAAAAATAGGACGCCGGCGTCAGGTCTAGGAGATATTACACCATTTGAGAAATGGACATACAGAAAACCCGATTTAAGTCACGTCAGAGTGTTTGGTGGTCCTGTAATGGTACATATACCAAAGAATAAGAGACAAATGGGACAAAAAGGCTGTCAAGTATATCTTACTTGGTTACCCAGACAATGTAAAAGGGTACAGATTATACAACTTAGAAACTAAAAATTACACAAGTTACTATGAGCCGTGTGTATGTGACTATCATGAAAATAGAAGAAACTCCAGATAATGCTCAGATAATAGTGCAGGAATATAAGACTGATATACAGGATTCTCAATTAGTGGAGGAAGAAATACAAGAGGAAAGCAGTAGTGCTTCAGACTTGGATAATCTCACCTATGTTCCGGAGTCCTACAGTTTGTCCTTACCATCAGAAGACTCATACCACACGTTAGGTGAGGAAGAAAATTGTGAATTAAGTTCAGAAGAAGAGTTACCATGCAGGCGTACAAGAAAACCAGTAGAGAGGTATGGTTCCTCAAATCTTAGCATAGCTGACAAGCAGAAATCTTGGAATGATGATTTGACATATGAGGAGGCGATGAAAGGGCCAGACAGAGAAATGTGGAAACAAGCAATGGAGCAGGAACTGGATAAAAAATGAGATGGATAAAAAAGAGGCAGACAGAGTGGTTCAGTGCATGTGGGTGTTTAAAATGAAACATGAAAGTGACAACAAAGTGCGATTCAGAGCTCGTTTAGTTGCAAAGGGCTTCACCCAAACAGAGGGTGTAGACTACAGTGATACCTACTCTCTTGTTCTTAGATACTCAACTCTGAGGTTTTTGCAAGACAACTAAAAAATAAAAAGGCACCGGAAGGCCACCAAAAAAAAAAAAAGGCAATTTGCAATAAGTGTTAAATTAAATTTCAAAGTCACCCATCTAGATGTAACAACTGCATTCTTAAATGGCTGTCTAACTGAAAATGTGTACATGCAAGTTCCTCCTAACTTAAAATGTAAAAGTAATACTGTTTTGAAATTTAAACGTGCTATATATGGGTTGAAACAATCTGCCAGAGCCTGGAATCAACGACTTGTTTACTAGCATTAGGTTATGTAAAGTCAAAACTAGTGTTACGACTACTAACGCCACCTACGAGAGCGAACGCCCTCTGATGTCTCCTCGTATAAAACGCGAGCAGGAAGCTCTTGAAAGAAGCCTCAGGAGAAGCGTTACATGATATTCTAAACGTCTAGCAAGCAACACAAATTTTGTCAACCACATATAATATTATTTCAAATTGTAATTTTAACTAGGTAAAAAGTATTTTGAAATATTTAATGAAGCTAAAAACGACAACAACCATTGCAAAAAAAAAAAAAAATAGGCTTTCTACTCGCGGATAAATAATCCCTTGAGTGCGGGAAAATCCAGAAATTTCGTAACGAAAAAAACCTCACGCTCTCCGACGGGCACGGAGGTGTGGCTTGAAGGCCGTGCATTGTCTAACGATGGTCTAACGTCGTTTCTTTTCCTCAGTCTTCGACACGGTGTTTGTGTATAAAGTGTTTTGAAATTTTGAATATGAATGAACAAAGTGCATTTATTATTAATGAATAAAGTCACGAAAAAATAGTGAAAGAAAATGAGTGAGTACTCTATATACATACCTACATATTATTATTATCACAAATGCAGTACTAATTTTGAATTGAAAATGTAATACTGCTATAAAGATAACCTAAATATTTGATATTAAAATGAGCGATATTAAAAGTAGCCCTCTTTATATACACACAAACACACACACGCGTATAGTTTAAATTCTCAATTTAGATTCTCAATATGTATATATATACTCGATTAACCGGACTAATTGTTGCCGTTAGGGATTCGGATAATCGAAAATCCGGATGATCGAATGTATGAAGAAAAGCGGGTTTTGTGCATTTGTAGTACATATGTACATACATAATGTTATGTGTTTATTAAAAACAACAATTTCAACGAAAATCAATGTTTATTAAGAAATTATTATTTTTTAATAAACATTGATTAAATTCTCCATGACGAGATATAAATCTATCTCCGTTACTTGCGACAAACGAGCCGCCGCCACCTAATTTTTTATTTAACTATAATGCTTTTTCACAAAGCAAAGGGCCAGATATCATTTGCCCTGTTGATCGTTTTTGTAAAAACCAACAATACAAAGCGTCTTCTAATTGCCAATTTACTCGCGGACATAGGTCCTTATGTCCGGGACGGGGGTTTGTTAGCGCCTGATAGTAGATCGTCTTATCTCAAGCGGTGTGAAGTGACGATTAGTGAGGTGCGGGAGGGGGAGGCTAGCTGCATTTCTGCGCGCGGTCGGTCACCCCTAAAGTAGGGCATTATAACATACAACAGATAATATATTTCATTATATATTTTTAATCTTACAACACATTACAATAATGAACCATTGACTGTTATAATATTATATTCATTATCGTTAGAAAGCGTCATCTGTTTACATTTACGGTCCAACCGTCGCGTCGGCCGAGACAATGGGAGTCAATAAAATACTACCTACATTCATTATGCCACAAGGATTGCGTATAGCTTACACTAATTTAAACTCTAAGCTAACTTTTTTTGGTAGAGCCATGCTGCAGTTATATTAGATGTATAGTTGTAGCACGAATGGGTCGGCTCGACCGGGGAAGGACCACGCTCTCACAGAATACCAGCGTGAAGTAGTAGCTTAATGCTGCTGTATTTCGTATGGTGAGTGTAGAGAACCGGCGACCCATTTTACTGGAAACGAGGCATTCCATCTTAGTCCTCACGGGTGACAACACATCTGCATTTTGATTCGTAATCGAGGATAGATGTAGATGTCTATGGGCCACAGCAACCACTTACCATCAGGTGGACTGTGTGCTCGATTGTCACCCTATCCTATAAAAAAAAAAATAACTTAATAAGAGCTTATTTTACTAACACAAACGCGAAGCCGGGTCGTTCATATATTGAAAGTCTCCTTGTTTTGTCTCAGACTTATGTTAATAGAGCGTGCCATTTGAACTTAAAGACAATTAATTGGACAATAAATAATAAGTGACAAATCTTGCCGTGGAGCGTGGAACTGAGTAGTTGCGCGTCTTGTTAATATAATTGCCGTACGGCCGCCCTGACGTATGTAATGCGCGAACCTGAGTTTTTTGCGACGCGGTCCGGTGATACAGTATTTTTCACAAATAGTGAGTTCGTTATAACGCGGGTTCGGTTAAATCTGGTTGAATTTGATTGGATTAACCTAAGTAACTTGAATTAATATCAAAGAAAAAGAAATACTGCATAAATAAAATAAATAAATAATTATAATTGCATAAGTTGATACAAAATGCCATGCAATAGCTTTACCGCGGCAGTCCCCGAGTGCCACACGTCCTTTTTTATTTAAAGACAAAATAAACGATTCATTTGAACCGGGAACCTGAAACTCGCACCATATTTTGGACAATCATCGCCGGATTTCAAGAACTGAGCCAGCGTCGCACAACTAAGCGTAGTAGCAGCGAAACGGTCAGGTTCTTATTCCCTTTTACTCCTAATCTTTTTTCAAATTGTGCTAAACCGTGTTCTTTTCACATGTACAGTGCTCGAGATTTCTGTCTGGTTGCAACGCTACAGCCGTAAATACTTACACGTGAGTACCTATTTTTACCACATTATTTCTTCATAGGCCTCCAAAATGAGTGAAAGTTCTAGTGTAAAATTAATTGTCCCATCTCTTTCGCCTTCGAAAAAGAAATCAGTAGACGAATATCTTTCGGATTTCAAGAGAAAAAGAGGTCATTTAAAGGGCAAACTAACGCAGTTTAAAAAATACGTTACAAGTTTAGAAGGTGCTAGCCTCAACAAAATTCAGAATTCAGAATGCAGAATTAAAGTTAAGGAAGCAATCGGCTAGTGAAGTTTTTTATAATTTTAATTGTATAGAAAGCGAAATAGAACTTAATTCTTCAGATAGTGAAATTTGTATCAATTTAGAATATGTAGAATCATTAGAATCATTGTATTTTAGCACAATGGCCGTTGCCAATTGTCTGAGTGATGGAATGGATGATGGATCTCAAGTGACACAGTGCGCTTCATTGCAATCTAACGTTAAATTACCTCAAATTAAACTGCCTATATTTGACGGCTCTTACGATAGCTGGTTAGAATTCAAAAACTCATACATTACAATGATACATAAACGTTCTGACTTGGATGAAATTCAAAAATTTCATTATCTGAAATCATCATTGACTGGTACTGCCTTACAAGTAATAAGTTCTCTAGAATTTACAGCGCTTAATTATATCAAAGCATGGGAGCTACTTAAAAATCGTTATAATAACATTCGATTGTTAAATAATAATCACGTCAAATCATTATTTAATATTCCAAGCATTAAACAGGAATCACCATCACAAATTCGTAAATTAATAGACACAGTTTCTAGAAATTTACGCGCTCTAAAAACATTTAGCGAGCCCTCCGAGTATTGGAATACTTTGATAATCCATTTAATAATTTCGAAACTGGATACTATTACGGAACGTGAATGGGAAACGCGGAGAGTTGATATTGGTAGTCGATTTAAAGGTGATTCTTCCGAGAAAATATGTTTAGAAGATTTAGTTTCATTTCTACGCAATAAAGCAAACATGTTGGATATGATAAGCACTGTTCAGGCACACAAATTGCAAAATAAATCACTTCCTAACAATAATAAGCTAAACGAGTCAGTATCAGGTAATATTCATAGTTACGTTTCAACTAATAATGGCAATAGCAAACCTAAATGGAACACTAAAAAGAAGTTTCCTAAATGCTTATTATGTAGCCAGAATCATGCACTACACACTTGCGTTAATTTTTTTAATTTATTAGTTAAAGATAGGCTTAAATTCGTACAAGACAAAAATTTGTGTCGTAATTGCTTGCGTGCGGGGCATTCAGTAAACGACTGCTTATTCAGCCCTTGCAAACAGTGTCAACGCAAACATAATACTTTGTTACATTTTAATGTAGATGCGCGTGTGATAGACGAGCCGACTCCAGTCGACACACACACAACAGTGTCTACAGCTGCGTTGCACTCATTATCAGCTGAGACAACCGTGCAGCAAAAAAGTTTACTACAACCGGTTTTTCTGTCCACCGCTTTAGTCGAAATAGTAGATAGTAATAATTGTTTTCACACAATACGTGCTCTTCTCGATAATGGAAGCCAGCATTGTTTTGTTTCGGATAAGTTGTGTAAACGGTTAAATGCGCCTCTAATACAGTCCACTGTTCAAATCTCGGGTGTTGGAAAATTCATTTCACAACCGAGACATTCATGCGATGTATCTATCCGTTCAAAAATAAACGACTACAAAGCAAATTTAAATTGTTTCGTCTTGCCGTGTATT